TGGGGATTCGAACCCGCCACCTTAGGTGTATGTGGCTGGCGCCTTAGCCGCTTGAGCCACAGGCGCCGAGCTGTACTTGAACTTTTTGAGATCCCACTCCTGTTTCCTGGGCTAGAGTGCAGTAGCATCATTGTAGCACTGCAACCTCAAATTCCTGGCCTCAAGTGATATTCCTGCCTTGGCCCTGCCTTGGCCAAAGTGCTAGAATTACAGGTGTGAGCCACCATGCTTGGCCTATACTTGGATATTTTTTGTTATTGTTGTTGCCCTGGATAGATTGCTGTGACGTCACAACTCACAGCAACCTCAAACTTTTGGGCTCAAGATATCTTTCTGCTTCAGCCTCCTAAGTAGCTGGGCCTATAGGCATCTGCAATGATGCCTGGCTGGTATTTTCTATTTTTTAGTAGAGATGAGGCTTTGCTCTTGCTCAGGCTGATCTCAAACTCCTGAACTCAAGCAGTCCACTCATCTTGGCCTCCCAGAATGCTAGGATTACACGCATGAGCCTATCTACTTGGACTTTTGATACAGATACATGGCCTTTAAAATAAGGTTAGACAGGCTATTTGGAATCACCTGGCTAATTAGTGACTAAACTTGAGTTTGATACAAGTCAGGTTCAATGTTCCTATCAGCCCTTTTGCTTATTTTCCCTCATCCTGAAAGGTATACTGAAAAAAACTATTTTTCTTTTTCTAATCAGAGTCTCAGAAATTCTGAAACTGTTACAGTAGCCAAGTGGAAAAGGGCCACTGGAAATGGAAAGTGAAATCTACTGAAACTTCTCTTAGCCACTATGCTGGATTCTTTGTATATATATTATAATATTCTTTACTACCTTATGAGATGTAGATATTTTATTCTTGCCTCATGGATGAGGAAATTGGATTATAGAGAGGTAAAGTACCTTACTGAAAGTCATGTAAATCATGAGCTGTGTGTATGCTCCAAAACATACAGCCTGACCATTTACCAGCAGCCACAAGGAAGCAGATTCTCTCTACTGCTGCAGGGTCTTCAATGTTAAATATTCTTTTTTCTTTCTTTTTTTTTTTAATAGAGACAGAGTCTTACTATATCACCCTCAGTAGAGTGCACACAGCTCCCAGCAACCTCCAGCTCTTGGGCTTAGGCGATTCTCTTGCCTCGGCCTCTTGCGTAGCTGGGACTACAGGCACCTGCCACAATGCCAATCTATTTCTTGTTGCAGTTTGGCTGGGGCCCGCTTCGAACCCACCACCCTTGGTATATGGGGCCGGCTCCCTACCCACTGAGCCACAGGCACTGCCCTCAATGTTAATTCTTACAGGCTAATATTAGAAATTCCATTTTCCTTCCTTTTGAAAGGAACAAATTTGTAATTGTGACTTTCAATGAAGTGTAAAGTACTCCCTGATAACAAACTATCAAGGGGATTCACAGTGCACTTTGTTTCCTGTTGGTATTACTATGGTCAGCCTGGTTTTGTGGATAATGCAGTAAACAAAGAGGAAGGAGACTAAGCACCCAGTTCTGGGTTGGCAGCCAAGGCATTTAACATCTGAGAGCCTATTTCCTCATCTGTCAAATGAGACGATTAGATAAAATCACTTTCAAAGATTCAACTGTAATATTCTATCATATAGGACAGTTGTATTCCTAGCTTTGAGAAAATAGGAGAAGCTGAGAAGAAAGATGAGGTCAGACTCTTTTTTTTTTTTTTAATTTCAAAAGATTTTTTCTCAGGGCCAGACTGGTTTTGAACCTGTTAGCCTTGGTGTATGTGCCGGCGCCCTACCCACTGAGCTATGGGTGCTGCCTCAGGTCAGACTCTTTAAAAAAAGAAATTCATGATCAGCCAGCCAATATTTATTGAATGCATTTGAGCTTAATTTTGGGGTGGTTGGAATTGGTGTGGTTTTTTTTTTTTTTTGCAGTTTTTGGCTGGAGTCAGGTTTGAACCCACCACCTCTTATATGGGTCTGGAGCCCTAATCCTTTGAGCCACAGGCACTGCCCCTGTTTGGTGTTTTTTGTGTTTTTTGTGTTTTTTGAGACAGTCTCATTTGCTCTGGGGTGGAGTGCTATGGCATCCTATCTCACAGCAACTTTAAATTCCTAGGCTCAAGCGATCCTCTTGTCTCAGCCTCCTGAGTAGCTGGGACTACAGACACCCACCATGACCCATAGCTAGTTTTTCTATTTTTAGTAGATTCAAGAGTCTCACTTTGCTCAGGCTGGTCTTGAACTCCTAAGCTAAAGCAATCCACCCACCTTGGCCTCTCAGAGTGCTAGGATTATAGGTGTGAGCCACTTCATCTGGCTGTTTTGTTTTTGATACAGAGAAACTTTAAAGGCATAGACATTTTCCCCCCCAAATATGTAAGCCACCTAAAATATCTGTACAAGTTAAGGCTGGTGAGGACCAGGCGTGGTGGCTCACGCCTGTATTCCCAGCACTCTGGGAGGCTAAGGCAGGTAGACTACCTGAGCTCCTGAGTTTAAGACCAGCCTGAGACAGAGTGAGACCTTGCCTCTAAAAATAGCCAGGCATTGCGGTGGGCACCTGTAGTCTCAGCTACTTGACAGGCTGAGGGAAGAGAATTGCTTAAGACCAAGAGTTTGAGGTTGCTGTGAACTGTGACACCATGGCACTCTACTGAGGGCAACAAAATAAAAGACTGTCTCAAAAAAAAAAAGTGGGCGGTGCCTGTGGCTCAGTGGGTAGGGTGCCAGCCCCATATACCGAGGGTGGTGGGTTCAAACTCAGCTCCAGCCAAACTGCAACAAAAAATAGCCGGGCATTGTGGTGGGCACCTGTGGTCCCAGCTATTTGGGAGGCTGAGGCAGAATTGCCTAAGCCCAGGAGTTGAAGGTTGCTGTGACCTCTGTGATGCTACAGCACTCTACCGAGGGATATAAAGTGAGATGCTGTCTCTACAAAGAAAAAAAAAAGTGTTAAGTGGTTTGTAAAGTGGACAGGAAAGTTGAAATAAACCAGGCCTATAACAAACAAGATTAGGAACGAGTAATGATTTACATAACATGTTTGATTCTCCTCTGGTATTAGACTGATTTCTTTTGAGATAGTTGCTCTAGGTAGAGTGGCATCATCATACCTCATAGTAACCTTAAACTCCTGGATTCAACTGTTCCTCCTGCCTCAGCCTCCTAAGTAGCTGGGTCTATAGGTGCCTACCACCACACCTGTGTAGTTTTTCTATTTTTCAGTAGAGATGGGTTCTTGCTCTTGCTCAGGCTGGTCTCAGACTCGTGATCTCAAGCAGTCTACCTGCCTCAGTCTCCCAGAGTGCTAGGATTATACCCATGAGCCACTGTGCCCAACCTTGGAATAATTTCTTAATTGTCCCTATATGTTTCAAAGTTCTGGTTCTTAGTTGCCTGAGTAGATGTGCTTTGGCAAAAGGGTACTGCCTCTGTGCAGATTCTCACAGGAGTGGATTATCCCAAATAGGAAGGATGCATAGATGCTGGTTTGCAAAATCTTTAAATCTACAGCTGTCTACTGCAACCCTAAATCTTTTTTTTTGGCCGGGTCTGGGTTTGAACCTGCCACCTATGGCATATGGGAATATGGGACCGGCTCCCTACTCCTAGCCACAGGTGCCACCCACAACCTTAAATCTATTTCTTTTTTTTTTTTTGAGACAGTCTCACTGTGTCATCCTTGGTAGAGTGCCGTGGCGTCACAGCTCACAGCAACCTCAAATTCTTGGGCTTAAGCAATTCACTTGCTTCAGCCTCCCAAGTAGCTGGGACTATAGGTGCCTGCTACAACGCCCAGCTAGTTTTTGTTGCAGTTGTCACTGTTGTTTAGCTGGCCCGGGCTGGGTTTGAACCTGCCAGCCTTGGTGCAGGTGGCTGGTGCTACAACCACTGTGCTAGGTGCCAAGCCAACACAACCTTAAATCTTTAAAAAAAAAAAAAAAAAGATGTGGGAGAGAAGACAGTGACCACTTGAGAGGGCTACAGGGGAAGCAGTGTCATCAGAAGTCAGAAACTTAAAAGTCTGACAGGTGAAGTTCAGAGGACTCAATTGTTTTCACAAATTAATACTCACTTTCCTTAAACCACAAAGGCCCTCATGCTAGAGATGTGGGTAAAAATGTTTCTGTAAGAAAAACAGCCATGAAATAGTAAGTGAAACTCAGCTTCATATTTGGAAGATGGGACTGATTAAAAGGCAACAACCATTACTTTTTTTTTTTTTT